ATTTGAAATAAGATTTATATATTTTTATATGCAGTTGTTTCATTCATTGTTAGATAAAATCAATTTTGTTGACTGAGATGAAATTAGTACCAAATTTATTGCCAGCGTTTTGGTTGCGTCATTTGGGCTAACATATTTCTGTGAGGGTGCAATACCTAGTGACAGCTTTAGTGAGAAATAATTAAGGTTAATTTTTAAGCTTTCATTTTTAGTCTTAGGTAACTTCAGACTCAATGTATGGCGTTGGTGAAGTCGGGAATGCAGGAAATGACGAGGGGTGTGTTTTAATAGTTGTTATAAATTTAACTACATAAGTTGTAAACTTATCGGTTGAAAACTCGTCCAGTCACAACTGATCGCTATATAAGATCCCGACTAGTTCCCTTTATTCCAAAAGTTGGAATTGGTGAATTTTTCGGAAGTAAACTGACTGGGTCCTGTCGTGACGGTCAAATTTGCTGCGTTCCCGTTTCCAATGTTAGCCCTGACAGCGCCAATTGCTCTGCCATTGTCGACCTCGATTCGATTGTCTTGTTTCACGCCCGTGAATTTCTTTACTATTGTGAGATATTAAAATGAATTTGAAACTTTCGCCCTGTGTTTGTATTGTAGTTTGCTTATGGGGTAGTGCAATGTTGCCTTTTTTATGGGCCTAGGACGCTCCACCGAGAATGGCAAGGTATAAAAAGTTAAGATTTTCAATTATTAATGTAATTATGAAACGTAGTTTGCCCAACAAATGAGGTCATATTTTAGGTTGTAACTTTCAATAGAAAAATTAAACTGCATTCTCCACCTAAATCCATTGAAAAGATCCATAGGCTTTTGTGCACTTTCGTGACTCCTTAATACGGATTTGTACGAGAGTGACCTCTTTTATACTAGTTAAAAAAAAACTTACTGGTTAGTGGTAATATGAGGCACGCTTTTCTTTCACTTTCTATTACGATCTTGGCAGTACAGAAAAAATACATCGGTGAGAAAATCAAAATGAGAAATGCGAAACAGATATTTTTCCAAACTGCATTTTTCTTGCAACTATTAAATTAATATTAGTACATACTTTGAAGTATTACTGTATATCGCCAGCTTAACTAGTAAAAAGGAAGTTAAAATAATTTTTCGAAACTTGCAGTATCTAAAAGATCCATTTCTCGTAAAAATCTGTTAAATTATTAAAGTGGTACCTAATGAAAGTGAACAAAAATCCATCATGGATCTTTTCAATGGATTTTAGTGGACATAGGGATTTTGGGTTACTTGGAATCGCGGTTTAACTTTGGTACAAAGTTGTGAAATAGATTTGTTTCAATATCGTAACTGCGTTAAACAGATTGCCAACATGGTTATACACTCCAATACGTAATTTTCGCAGGTAGTCGCGTTTTTAGAAGCGTTTGTTGCGCAGATACGTAATTCAATTTTACCCAAAACATAAAATATTCGAATATGGTTGTTACATTCTTAAAAATTTAGATTCAAAGTTACCCAAAACTCATGATGACTGAATTTTTGGGAATCTCTTAGTCGGAAAATAAACCAACTCGGAGAATAATATTTATTCAATAAATTAACGTGTATAATAAATATGAATCAGATTGTAATATCACAGATGTTTATTTTAAAAGTGTTCAAAGTTACCCAAATCGGTGGCAGTTGTTCGAATTGTTTTCTTTACGTGTTTTAAATACCATGTGCATTTTTATACATTATCAATTATTATTTTTGAAAATTCGAATTTTTTATACCTAGTCGTTTCTTCTTGAGAGCTAGGCCTTTTTGCGGGGGCAACAGCGTGGTTTATAGTTATCGTGAAAAAAATCTAATTATTATTTATGTACCTACTATATTATATCATGAGATTTTTGTTGTGATCAAGAATGAAAACCTATTTCCGTATATACCTGAATTGTATAACTGTTGATTCAGATCATTGGGACTTGAGGGTAGATTTGATGCATTTCAACCTCTGTCTTGCATCTTGTCGATTGCAGAAGGTCCGAAAGCATTTTGCTGTGCTGACATAGCTACTAACATACTACAAAATTTCCAATTTCTTGTAAATCTACGGCAACTCAAAATTGTTTCAAAGCTTTTTCTCACAACAAAACTTTTTAAACCACAGCTGTAGCCTCCATAGTGTCACAGATTACTTTTATGTAAGCACATATTTTAGCTACATCCTTCTAGTTTCGACCAAAGACAATGATGCGGCCCAAAGTTACCTACCAAAAGACATATTTGATTCCTATTTTTTACTTAATTTCCAGTGGGAAAATTCCGCTTTTTTTGTAAACATTTTTTTCATCATCTGCTTGTTTTGATATATTTTGGATGTTATCCCTATTTATTTTTTACCAGTTTTTGTATAACTTTTTATTGATTAGTAGTTTTTATTCACTAGTAGTTTAGTGTTAAAGTTTTTCAGTATTTTTTCGAGTTTTTTTTCTATTATAGGTAATTTTACACAGACTAGTATAAGCTTTCAGCGAATATAAAGTTTTTGCACGTTGGCCGTAAAATAAGGTATATTTATGTATATTTAACTTGAAATAAATAGAAAAAATGTAAAAAAATCTGTTTGAATATTGCAAATTAGATTCAAATTTCTTAAAAAAAAAACGATGGAGCTTTATTGTTTTCTTTTTTCTATTTTAAAATAAAATGTATTACAATTTTTTATATATTTGTATTTATGTAAAAACTAAATAATTATTGTAGATAAGTAGTTTTGGATTTACCTGCGTTTTTCCTTATTTTAAGAGTGATTTTTTTATGTTAATTTTGTCGTTTGAATAGTATTACTTAGTCTTATGGCTATTGGGGATCATGGACATTGTTATAACATTTAATCATTTCTGTCGATAGTTAAAAATTACTGTAATGTTCCTAAAACATTTATTTTTTATTAATTATTATTAAAATGACGTATAATTATTGTTCAAAAAATGTGTTGCAATTCGTAAAATTAAGATATTTAAGTAGTATATTTTATGTATATTCATGAATTAATATTATTATATAAGTACTTAATATTTGTTTTTATATAAAATCTGAAGTCGTGTATACCGATGGTAGTAATTATCGACAGAATTGCAAGTAAATGATCGTGTAAGGAACCCACGCCTCTGATCCCCGATAGGCTTGTAGGTATTGTTTAAAAACTGAAATACTTGAATTTTTATATGAATTTTATTAATATAATATGGTATTTTACTAAATATTAGTCCAATATTAAATCTTTATATGTTTGTTTCATTTTAATACCCCACTCATTCAGCACAAACTGTAAATGGTCGGCAATTTTTGACAACTTACAAAGAATGAACGAAAGAAAGAAAAATTGAGCAACCCGGACCCAAGTATACAAAAAAACAATAAAATTAGCATATTTCAGATTCCAATTAGTCTGCTATAAATACAACATATTCCGCATCTATAGAATTGCTGTAGAAGAAGACTATTGCTTCACTTTTTGCTTGCTCGACAGACTAGACACAGACTGTTGTAGTGAAGACTGCCATCCCCAGCGCCAGTCTCTCTAAATACATGCTCCCTTAGCCCTAGGATAAATCACTAAACCTAACAAGCAAAAAAACCTTTAATGTGTTCAACACAAAGCTTACACTAAACAAAGAATTAACTATTTTCTACTCGGATTGTAGTAGAGAAGTATCTTAAGGCCTGGGTATATATAAGAGCATGCGAAAAATCCACACGGGTAGAGTTAACGATCAATTAAGTTTGGATTGTGTCGTGCAGAAATAATGATTAAGCAAGCTGGCCAGTACTGACGCTAAACTATTACAGGTACTATTCTACAATATATTCAATTAGGGAAACATAACTTTGTATGTTGTGGGAAAACACTACTTGGGGAAGCCTAGTAGTAATACATTAAAATAACAAATAAATAAAATTAGTCTTGCACTTAAGGCGGATACAGACATTGCAAAGCATGATGTGCAGTTTAGAACCATTCATCGCATACTTCGCAATGTGTGGACGTTCATAGTCATGGCGAGGCATTATTTAAAATAAAAAAAAGTTCTTTGATTCCCCGGCGCGTCGTATGTAGCATATGCCTCGCCACAATTGAAGGAAAGGACACCCAAGTACTTCACACGCAGTTGGATCGACTCAAGTATGCGTCGGTCAACCTGAACATGCGTTGGTTTTACTTTTACTCCAGGCAAATTTATATCAAGATGTGTTGCGAGGCAAGAAAAAATGAAAAAAAAAAAGATGTCGGTTCAAACCTTTCTTTTATGGTATAAGGGGGCAAACGAGCAGACGGGTCACCTGATGATAAGCAACTAAGCCACCCATGGGCACCTGCAACTCAAGTCACAAGTGCGTTGTTGCCCTCGGAGTCCCTCCCGCTCAGGTCAGCGGGAGGGGGAATTTGGGCTCCGGTAACCTCACTCACTTAGTGAAAGGCAACGAAAGAATTAAGCAATTCTTTTGTTGTTGTGTTTTCAAAAGTGAAAGACAACAAAAGAATTGCTTAATTCTTTGGTTTGCTTTCCTAGTGCATAAATGATACCAGTTGCCGAAATTTTTCTTTAAAGAGTGTGTGTGAGTCTTTCATTTTCCATGTTAAGCAGTGTTGAATCAATTTTAATCTAGAAAAATATACTTTAAGAAAAAACAATGATATAAAATATGGGTTAAAAATAATAAATGTACCTAAACGTCTTGATCTAAGGTAGGAACATTAAATTTTTAATGTCATCAACTCCAATACTCACCCACCTCACATCGATTCATTACGCGTTCCAGGCTAGAAGTTGGTTCATCTATCGTAACAGCGTAAGACAAAGACAACAATATACAAATACATTTTATTCTGCTCAGAGAGCTAAGTGAAGACTATGTCACTAATCACTAAGTTGAAATGTATGGTAGCGAAACGCACTTGTGTAGTGTTTATTTGTGAAGACGTAATGCGTGAATTAAATCGTTATTAAACTTACGGTGAAAGTGTAAACAACATAAAAATGGTTGATAATAAAGAAAGTTTTATCGAGGCTGCAATATTTCAGGGCACAGACGGCACAAAGTATGCCATAAATCCTTTTGCGACAAGGGAACTTAAATCACTTAATGAATCAATAAAAAGTGAAAACGATGAAGATACATCGTTGACTTGCGAACACTGTGACCTATCATTTGTAAATAAAGAAGAGTTTGAACATCACAACGTCGAGTTACACGGTAAAAAGAAATTATTGATGTGCAATCTCTGCAATACTCCGTTCAGGAGACAGGACCATTTAAAACGTCACATACAAAGCCTACACAACAATCAAAAGTATTGTACGTGTCCCGTATGTAAGAAAGACTGCAAACGCCAAGATATACTGCTGAAACACATTAAAAGAAAACATTCCACTGCTACGGAAGTATTTAATTGTAGAGAATGTAAGTTTCAATGCAATACACTACCTGAATTGGAAAAACACGAGTTTACACATCTATTAGCCGATAGACACCTATGCCCGCACTGTCATACGACTTTTAAGAGACGAGATCATATGCTGAGACATGTGAAATCGCAGCATTTGAATCAGTTTGTTGTTTGCCCTATTTGCGGTCAAACATACAAACGGAAGGACCATGTTGTGAGACATGTTAGAGAGAAACATAAAATGGGACTGCTGAATGGGAAACTAGTGTCATCGACAGAGATATTACAAGCAACGGATGATTAAAAAATTTCTGCTTTTTAAGTAATTTGCACATTACTTAAAGTAAAACTTATTTTATATTCAAGAATGTATTAAGTTATAGTGATTCGCTGAACATGTATGCAAGTAACTACATATGAGAGTACCCAACTCCAAATATTTAAAAAAGTATTTATTTAACTATGTAAATAAACATTAAATTTTGCAATAAAGAGTAAAAGAGAACAAAGTTTTGCGGTACTGGCCGGAACCATGTCTCGCAGAAATCATTAAATCTGCAACCTGATCAAACTAATAATGACAATTAACTGACTAAAATTATCTGTATTCATATCAGGTGATATGTTATTTAGATTTGTGATGTTTAAGGGGTGTGTTATTTGAAAAATGAACGACAGTTTAATCCAGTAGAAAATGTATATTATAAAAAAGTTACAATATTTAAAATGTATATTGTATAGCCATGTCGTTATCAAGAATGGGTTAATTGGGGAGTGTCGCCCCTGCTGTGAGTGATGCAATACGTCAAAAAAAGAAGATATAAATACAGATTGTTTTAAAATATTACCATTAATACTTCTAAGTTAGCCAGGATTAAATCACACAGCACAAAACAGTCTATTTCACGCTTTTTTTTTGTGCTGGTAACATGTTTTTATAAATTTAGTGTCAAATAAGTCATAACAAAATGTTTACCGTAATAATAGAAATTAAATTAGTTTTTAACAATGGGAACATTCCCTTATATTCATAAGCAAAGGTTATTCATGAGGCCACTGGAGCCCAAACTGTCTCGCTCGCCCTGATTCTGGAGGGTAGGGAAGTGTATTGTCATTTAGTCTCTCCAAATGACAATACCCTTGTGACTGGAGTAGCGGGTCTCCATGGGCAGCTGTGGTCACTCTCTACCACTCTCCTGCTCGTTTTCTCCCCATGCTCTGTAATAAAGCCTATTGTATTCAGAGCCGGATTAACCATTAGGCAGAGTAGGCAACCGTCTAAGGACATTGGTTAGGAGCCCCACTTCTGCTTTTAGTTCCTGTGGTGTTAGTATTAATCAGGTGATACTGCTGATTCTGTTACTTACAACCCTTCATCAACTTATCTAGCAGAATCTTCAAAAAAAAAAAACTATTTTTTATTTGCAGTCCAGTGTAATTCACAATGTAAAATTTGAATTGCCTAAGGTTCTCGACATGGCTAATCCGGCCCTGATTTTGTGTCTCAAATTCTCTATAATCTCTCTATGGCAACACATAGACACTTATAAAATTTTATTTTGCAACCATTATTATTCAAACTGTCTTACATTATTGGCTTTAAGTCCTTATTAACAAAATGAAGAATTTATAGTAACTGGTAAAAACTTATTTGAGATATTAGAAGGTATATTATTTAATATATTTATATATTATGAATAAAAATAAGTAATGAATTATGCTTTAATTTTCTGTGTTAATGCATTTTATAATAGTATTCTAGTAATTTGGTTACAATAAAGTGAAATAAGAAAATTTACATGGTAATTAGACTTATAGATATGATATGGTAATCATTTTCATCACCAACAGCCTTAAATAGTCCACTGCTGGACATAGGGACTCTCCTTAGACAGGAGGTTTTTGTCTATTAAACCATGCCAGCAAGACGGGTTAGTATAGAGTTTGTTTAGCGTTTTTTCCTTCTCTGTGCAGTGCTGTTGTACTGCGTAGTTTCTCCCTTAGTCCTCTTTTACGACACCCACGGGATGAATAGGAGTGTTGACATTGTATTCTTAATCCTCTCCACACGGATAATACATATATTTAGTATCATCAAACACAATGTCTCACGTTACTGTACAAGACACTTTTTTATCTGGCAACCTAAGACTTTTCTTGTTTGGCAGCACTTTTGTAAAGAATTTCAAGTACCATATTATTATTTTAAATTAAAGACATTTAAGTTTTAGTTTTTGTAGGACTTTTATTTAATAACATTACAATTTAAAACTCAATTCGGATGGATTATCACAATCAAGTGCAATATCAACATTTATGTACTGTTAATTATTAAAAAAATTAGTACTCGATATTATTATAAAACAATAAAGTATGTTTTTAATATTTTTATTATCTATATATTATTTTAACAACTATCCATAAGTCTGATGTAAAAAAAACTTTTTATTTTTTTATAATTTTTCATAAATTCTAGTAAATATTTTTTTAATCCTATTTACGTTTTTTTTTAGAAACTCTCTACCTAACTATTTGTGTTAGGAATAAGTAAATTTTTGTAGTGAACTACATGGGCCTCGAATCTGCAACCATTAGACATCTTAGCCTTTATATTTAATTATAATAATACCTACGTGAATACGGATTAGACATACATTTCATTTAGACGACTGTACATACACATAACGTAGTATCGATGTGATTATATGTTAGTAATAAGTTTAGCTAGCTCTCTCTCAAAATTAATTTATTTATTTTACACAACACGATCGAAAAGTTTTGCATTTATGATTTTTTATTGATTAACTATGTCACTGAAATAAACACTATATGTATTTTAATATGTTGTTCATTTATCAAATATCTGATCCGTACCTATGATCCGTGTCCATGGTGAAACTATGTAATAAGAATAACCTCATCTCACACTGCTGTGCTGAGTATTGTGGGTTCGATCCCCACATGGGACTACACTTTGTGTGATCCACAAATTGTTGGTCTGAGTATGTGTCGGTCTTTACGCTTTGTATCCATTTTATGTATATACACAGGGCTTTTTACTACTGCGTTAGTTGTCTTTATTATAAAAAAGAGAGGTTTTTGTGTTACATAGGAAGGGTCACCTGCTGGTAAGTGACTACAAACGCCCATGGACACCTGCAACTCAAGAGCTGCACTGCTGCCCTCAGGCCTGCCCCCCAGACTCAGTGGTAAGAGGAGAATTTGGGCTCACAACCTCACTAGGTGAAAAGCAATGAACGATAGCTTAACACTGGTTTCCTGTGAGGCAGTGGTATCGCTCCAATCAGACCTGGACCAATATGTGCCAAAATATGGCTCTCACCCGATGATAGCTGAAGCTAAACTGCCCGGGTCATCACAGCGCATCACACGGCATATTATAAATAAATTACACCCAGACACAGAATAAAGAATGATCGTGCTTATCACACAATTATTTGTCCTGGGTGATGACATCCAAGTTAGCAGTCAGGATCACTAACCACTAGACCAACAGCCCCGTCAACAAATATATGTTTATGGCACTCATAAACAAAATATTTTATTTGTTAACGTGGTAATGAAGAATAATTCGTGGTCCTGTCTGTGACACTGTAGGTATGTGCTCACTATCATGACAAATAAAACCACCTCAATCCCATAACCAAATGTTTTGTTTACGAGCGAGCCAAAAACAATAAAACAGTCCATCCCAACATTGGTCCTTCGAGTCGGATCAGATATATTTTACAATGAGTTTGAGAAAATACATCACGTTTTATCCGCAAAGGGGTAAACAGTAGCGTATTAATCGCCCAAATTTTAACATATACAGTTTTAGTCCTATTTACGTATTAGGGAATAAGTCTATTGCTTTCAACCGGGCACATATATGTCTAAATAAACATACTTCACAAAAGGCGTTATGAAAAAAAAAATTTTCGCTATTAATTATAATATTTTCGGACATCTGACACACAACGCCATCTAGTTTCAAACTAAGCGGAGCTAGTACTATGAAAGCAAGAATGACTGATAGAATACTTATATCCTTTTTTGTAAATACATTACATATTATACATAGAAACCCTCCAAACTCCGAAACAAATATTTGTTTTTCGTTTTGTCGCCCCTCACCACTTGGCGCTCCAATGCTAATGGGATGGAGGCACCTGCAGAACCATGACAACATCGTAACTCCGATAACACTACGACTACAGTATTTTAATTTGTAGAAATAAAACACCAAAGTATAAGTAAATTATTTTTATTTATAAATTACAACATTAGTTTGAATCTCATACCAAGGGTGACTTAGTCAATAATGGACAGAAGTTATTTATCTAATCGCTGTATAGTATATACAATATACAAATACATCTTAAGATTTCATATATGTCGACAATTCAATATAATTTTTTTAATATTTTGCGAGTGGTATTCATATTCATAAAGTACTAGCTGTGTTTTTTAAAAACAGTTTTTTGGGGAACCCTCGCAGGCATCCTCAGAACACCCCACCCAAATTTTATCACAAATCGATCAATGTTTTCGGAACGCACAGAGGTCAAACATACTAATACTGTTTTTTAGTTTTTGGTGTAAATAATATTGATACTCAGGCCAGGTCAGTATGTATAGGTGACCATTTCTTAACACATTGAGACCCCCTCCGTGCCTCGGAGAACACGTTCAGTACCGTTTTGCCATACCTACATATGTGGCAATATAGATGGAGCTCCAAAAAATGTCCGACAAAAGTCTTTCTAAAGAACGTCGATACCACTTAGTACTTGGGTTGTGAAAGTCTGAGGGCCTAGTGCTGGTTAGGAGTTTACATCAACTCGCTCTCGACAGTGAGCGCCTTCGGCGTTGCGATTGGTGAAGATTTTGGCCAATAGCAGCGCCGAACGCGGTCACCGTGACGATCGAAGACTTAAAGCCGAGACCCCAACCTAAAAAAAGGCTCGGAAGAAAAATAAACCCACGTGTTTGTTTCGTAGAAGTCTGGCTACTGTCGGATCAGACTGAGGTCCTTAGGATTTATTTCTGGTGCAGCGCCTGTCACTGGTGTGGATTAATTTAAGCCTCTCCTTAGAAAAGCGGTTTTGGTATCGTATGGACACTAATCATTTAACTCAAAATCATTTTTTCCTGACTTGATGGCGTCACATGATCGCGGATGAAATGTTATTAGAAATAAATTATTTTAAATAGTCCTTATCATTACCACGTGAGCTGCGGACGATAATTACGTTTGCTGTTTCGACTTCTGCGTAAGCGCAGGTCTGCGAGCGCCTCGAC